CCCCAAAAAAAAAAAAAAAAAAAAATAGAGTGGTGATTATACGATGAACAAAGTGGTTGATTGCCGATGCAGCATCATCAAGATTCTCAGCTGCAGCAAAGAACTCGGGAAGCTCCGAAACCCATATGAGTGTGAATCTTGATAATGCCACACCAGCGACCAACAACTGTACTGTCTCCAACAAACCCCAAAAATGAGGGTTCGGAGAAAAAAAGGTTTAGGGTTTGGATATATAATGCCATTTCCATTCTTCTTACCTTCTCTTGCTTCGCTGTATGCTACTCTCACCATCTTCCCCCACAAACCCTAATTCTATTTTTTTTTTTTTTATATAATTCTTTTTAGGATCCTAATTAAATTAACCATAATGCTCCAACCCTTATCTCTTCATTTGGTACATAATATAATATTTTAATTAATTAAAAATAAAAACAATATCTTAAATAAATTTAAAAAAGAAAAAGTTAATTTGTATAATTTTCCAGATCAAATGAAATGATGCACGTGTGAAATAGGTGGAGTGGTTAAGTTTCAATTATTGAGATTAATTAAGAACCGATCCTAAATTAAATCACATGCTTAGCATTAACTCCTTAATTGCTTTTCCACGTAAAGTTACCATTTTTAAAACAAATTCTATTAACCCTATTGTCTTCATGGGTTTGCTTTTGTCTCACACCAATGAAGTTAGTATTCCTCACTTATAAACTCACGATCAATCCCTAAATTAGCCGATGTGTGAGTTTTATCATCCAACAAGAACATTGGGCGGTGTAATTGGATTATTATTTAATTGTTATTATTATTTGATAATAAAGAAGGTAGGGATTTAGTGAAGCTGGGGAAGGTTTGATTGGAATAAGGAAGGCTTATCTGAATATACAAATATAAGGAAGAAAAAGGCAAATAAATTATAAAATTAATAAAATACCGTTTGTATTTCTGGCAATGTTTCCATTTACGAAGCACGTGCACGTGATGTTTTTAATAATTCAACAAATATAAATTCACTCATTTTATTTATTTATTTATTATTTTTATTACCCAGTTTAAATGGGTTAATGTGAGTAGTAGAGGTGGGACCCAGGGGGGCAGCTTTCTAAATAACTAGATTCGTTTGGCCAATCTTTTAATTTTGTCAAAATTTAGGATTCAAAATAAAATATAAAAAAAATAAATAGAAGGATAGTGAGACTGTGAGACTGACAGATTCCTGTCCACCAACACTCGCCACCCGAACCGCCGGGTCCATGTCCGTACATGTGAGATGCCCACTTCAACGCTGCGTTCCAATCCACTTTTAGATTCGCCTCCTTTTTTTTTTTTTTTTAATTTCTATAAATAAAAATTTAAATTAAGTCAGATCTAATTGAAATTAAATCATGAATTTATTTATAGTTTTATTTTAAAAAAGTTATATCAATGAAAATGTATTTTTGTATGTGTACGTATGATCTTACCCTTGTTTTTAACGTGTCAACTGTAAAAAAAATTTGTTATATTTGAGTAATATACGAAACCTCGTTTTAAATGCTTTAGAAAATAGTAAATTATCGTCACATGGGATTTTACAATCCCATATGGTCCTTTTTGCTACCTAGTACGGTATATTAATATAATGGTTCAACCATGTTATAATGTTTTTCTAAAAAAAAAAAAGAAAAAAAAAGAAAAAGACCCTTTAAATTATAAAATGAAATAATCGTGAGAGTAAATATTTACTGACAAATAAAGTTTTAGGTTTGAGTACATATTAATTACTATTGAGTTTTGCTTATTCGAGGAACAAGCCACTCTAAGAAAATTATTATTTTCGATTTCTCGACTACAAAAGTGATGCTAACAATTGAGTAGCTCTGGCGAACTCCCACACCAGATGCAACTTCTTCCCATCAACCGATTCACGGCAAAAGGCAATTCTCCGATGTTCGAACCGTGGCCGGTGGAGGTTTGGTTAAGTGAAGAAGAAGAAGAAGAAGAAGAAGATATAGCAAGAAGAAGATATACTAATTATTGTATAATTTTCAAGTTTTATAATTCTTTAGTTCTTTTCGTAAATTGAAACTTTTGAGCTTCCCCAGTACGATGGGCCAAAGCCCGAAGCCCACGGATAAGGAGCCCATGGGCTGAGCTTCCCGTGGCTGAATGATGGGCCGAAGCCGAAAGCCCACGGATAAGGAGCCCATGGACTGAGCTTTCCGTGGCTGAATGATGGGCCAAAGCCGGAAGCCCATTCAAGAATTTTTTTTTTTTTGTCCAAATAAAGTGGACAAAAAGAAATATATAAATTGAACATAATACCAATATTTTAAAAACAAAATTATATAAAATCTGACATGTAAAGCACAAATTCTTTATAACATTAAAAATTAAAATACCATTTTAATATTTATATTTTATTTTATTTTAGTCTAGTTCAAATTTAATTCTATATTTAAAATTTTGAAAGGTGAAAATATAAATAAAGAAAAAAAGAAATTGTATATTTAATTAAAAAAAAAAAAAAAAAA